GGCTGTGGTGTGAAGGCCCCTTAAAGGTGCAGTTCCCAACACTTGGATGCAGCCCTGGGCATCACCCCCAAGCCCTGCTGGTGCCCCTCACTGCTGACCCACAGCCCCTGCCCCCAGCCCCTCACTCCCAACGCACAGCCCCCTGCCCCCTATATCCTGGGGGGCACTGGCTGACCAGGGGGTGGGGGGGCCACGCAGATGATGGGGCAGGAAGTGCCACAATCTCCCATGTCTCAATGCCGTTGTGGTGGAGGGGGCACATCCCCTGGCTCCACACACACATGCATGTGTATGCACCTGTGCGAGCTTCCCCTGGCAGTGCCCTGGCACTGGCTGCGCCCCCAGAGTTTTCACATTGGGTGTCGGGGAAACAGGGGCTTCAGCACTGTTCCCGGGACCTAGGTGTCCAGGCCCGGCTCCCCCCACCCCCTCAAAACCCATGAGCAGGGGTCTAGGCCCAGGGGGGAGGGAGAAGCAGAAGGTGGCTTGGCAGGGCTGTGGCCCATGCAGGGTTAACCAGGTGCATGGGGGGAGCACTTGTGAGGGCAGAGGGGTAGTCACCCCCTGGTCCCAGTGCCCGGACAACCCGGGCGCCCGGGTGCAGAGGGGCCATGGCAGCGGCTGCTGCTGGCAGGTGACTGGGGCCGAGGCCTGGGGGGACACGGGGGTCTAGGCACGGCACAGTGCCCCCCTGTCCCCCAACGTCTGTCTGTCCTGGGACAGAGCTGGGTCTGGGGGAGGAGGCAGCGGGACACCTCCCCGCCATTGCTGGGGGGCATTTCCCACTGGGCAGCTCCCACTTGCCTTGGCGCCCTTCCACACACATGCACACGCACAGATGTGTGCCTGGCCCTGGCACTAGATACCCACATGCACACACACATACATGCACACATACCATGTCCTGACACCATGGATGTGCACCAGACCCCAGCACCATGCAGGATCCCACAGGCACAGCATGCCTGGCTAGACACCAACTGGACCTTGCTGCCGCTCCACTTAGCCCTGGGCCCCCCCATCCCCAGCTTGGGGGGTTACTGGGAGACTGGACACCTGGGTCCCATGCCCTCAAGCCCCCCAGGTGACCAGGAGCCCATTGAGGAGGTGTTGGAGTTGATACTTCGTGGTGACTCTGCCCTGACATCACAGCTGGTGACCCCTGGACCCCCTTCCTGGCATAATCCAGATTAAACCCCATTCCTTAGCTGCCCACCTCGCTGGATCCGGCTGAATGCCTGGGTTCCCTCTGGGCTCTTGGCGGGGAGGAAAGGGGGCAGAGATGACCTCTGGACTTCGACGCACTGTTTCCGAGGCACCAAAGTCATGGGAAAGGGGACACCCATCCCTGACTTTTGGCCCCTGGAGGGCCTGAACACAGGATCGGGGCCCAGGGAGGCAGCAAACCAGCTGGGCTTTATTTGGCTACAGTGTGTGTGGGGGTGTCAAGTGCACCGGGACTCCCAGCATGTACTGGGGCAGGGGGGTCCTCGCTCAGGTCCACAGCTCCTGGTACAGGTCCTGGGCTGCAGCATCTGGGGGGGGACAGGGGCAGGTCAGAGACACCCAGGGTGGGGGAGAGGACACACACTCCCAGCCCCTTGAAGCCCTTCCCAGCTCCAGGCCGTGATGAGCTGCCCGGTTCTCAGCAGCCCCAGGGAGGCCCTTACCTGGTAGGCGGGGTCGGGGGAGCTCCCGGGCTGGGTCTGGGCAGTCGGAGGGTCGTTAGCACCAGAGACCCCAGGGACCCAGGTGTTTGGGGGCACCACGGGGTTCAGAGGGGAAGGCAGGGGGCTGCGGGTCAGGAGTGGGGGCGAGGTCAAGCCCCTGTCACTCACCACTGCCCCCACTCGGGCTGGGGGGCTCATTCTCATACACTGGGGGGACGCTCCTTGCTGCCCCACAGGGTCTTCCTCTGATAGCAAGTCCTGGGGGGGAGGAGAGAGGCTGAGAACGGGGACCCAGGTGTCTGGGACCCCCTCACTGCTCCAACTCCCCCCAGACCCCACTCCCCTCACACAGCTGCGTGTGAGACTTGGACCTGCATCATGGGGGGAGTTAGGGTGAGGGGCAGACCCCCCATCCAGTCCCCCATGAATACTGAACGCCTCCCGAGGCTGGGGGGGCACAGCGACTGCCCGCAGGTGGCAGCAGTGTGGACAGTGGGGGCACGGCAGTGCCCAGCAGGGAGCTGCTGCACGCGGCCGTGGTGGGGTCGGCGGCCGGGGAATGGTGAGTGCTGATCAGCGACCACCCACAGATGCCGCTGGCAGTGTCGACAATGGCCAGCGGCGATCAGCGACTGCCCTTAGACGCTGCCAGCTCTGTCGGCAACAGGGAGGGGTGAGCAGCAACAGCCAATCTCAGGGGGTGCACAAGCACCCGCGTGCTTCCCCTACACATCGCTAATGCAGCCCCCCCATCCCAATGACCTGAGCCCAAGCAGCGTGGGCTGGGGGTGGCCCGGACTCACCCTCCTGACCCAACCCCAGGGCGATGGAGATGTAGCCGGTGGTGCTGTGACTGGTTTTGGGACTGGTGGAGCGGCACTTGAACATGCCTGTCTGCTCCATGCCTGCCAGCACCAGGCTCAGGATGGCACCAATCGGGGCCAGGGCCAGGACCAGGTTGGAGCTGTTCTGGGACCAGTGGAACCACGGGACTGGGAGTGAGTCAGCCACACATGTCAGGGTCACCCTGTCACCGAGGGGCAGGAACAGGGGCCCCGGCGGGTCGATGTGGACAGTGTCCAGACCATCTGTGGGGACAGTGGGGGGTGACACTGTCCACAGCCAAGCCAGAGCCAGCTGCAGCCCAGGGTGTGATACCTGCCCCAACACCCAACCCAGAGCCTGACGCATCCCAGGCCTGTGATACCAGCCCCGACGCCAACCCCAAAGCCAGCCGCATCCCAGGCCTGTGATACCAGCCCCAATGCCCACCCCAGAGCCAGCCACATCCCAGGCCTGTGATACCAGCCCTGACACACCCCAGAGCCAGCTGCACCATGTCTGAATGCGAGGGCCGGGGGCAGCCGATACTCACAGATCACGGTCACAATGACCGCCTCGCTCCGCACTGTGTTATCGGGGTTCCTGACCTCACAAGTGTAATACCCGGCGTCAACCTGGCCGACCCCCCGCACCATCAGGGTCCGGTTCCCCAGAGACAGCCTTATGTGGCCACTGGGCGCCAGAATGGAGCCGTCACAGTCTCACAGCAGCATCTTGGTGCCAGGGGAGGACTCATATGTGAGATCAAGGGTCCCGTTCTCCACCACTGTGGGGTTGAGGGGCATCACCTTGGGCTGTGACAGCGTCTCTGCAGGGGACAGAGGCCGCATTACTGGGGTCCCAGGTGCTCCTCCCGGACACCCCAAGACCCCGACAGGCCCTGGGGAAGTTGGGATCCTGCAGCCAGACCCAAGTCCAGGATCAGGGCCCTCCAGGTGCTGTGAGATCTGCCGGAGATCCCAGCCACTCCTGCAGCCTCTCACTGCCCCCCACCATCACTGCATCAGCCGCAGGGATGTGGCTGAGGCTGGGGGTGCCAGCAGGTGCAGGGAAAGCAGGTGGGTAAACCAGGGTGCAGAGGAATCGACACCATCTCCCCAGGGCAGGACCCCACGCCAGCCATGGGGGCAGAGAGTGGGATCTGGTCCAAGGGCACCAGCAGTGAGCTGAGCATAGGCTGAGTGCCAAGGTCCCAGCTGCGCCGTCCTTTCCACCCCAGGTCCCTGGAAGGAGTGAATGCCCAGGGGCTGGCGGGGACCTGCTCAGTCTCAGAGAAACCCATTATTCAGCCTCTTCCTAAGACTATAACCCAGAATCCAGACCAAGGCTGTGCCCCCACTGCAGAGGAAAGCAACTCCCTCCCCCCAGTCTGGACCAGTCTGAGCAGGTGGGAAATCCCTTGCCCCAGTGCAGTGTCAGGCTGAGCCCAAGCGCAGGGGCAAGACCCTCCAGCCAGGACCCTGTGGGGTCGGTGCCAGCAGGAGCATTGGCCCAGTCCCCCCAGCACCCCCAGAACCATGGGGGAAACAGCTCCCTGGTCCGAGCAGGATGCGGTGCAGGGATCCCGGGGCCCAGCTGGACCTGCTGGAAGAGCCTGCAGAAGCAGGGATGGTGCCGCAGCCTTGCCCATGTGCCTGCCGCACCCAGGATCTTCCTGGGACCCTCTGGGCAGAAGGGCAGTGGGCTCCTCTGGACATGCCTGGAGCTCCTTGCCCAGGTTGGGAAGCAGGGAGAGGGTGGAGGGAAAGGGTCAGCGCTCACCGTAGACACACAGGTCTGTGCTCACAAGCGGGTAGGTTGCCCCAGGGCCAAGGACCTGCAGCTTGTAGGTTCCGGCGTTGACCAGCGTTAACATGGTGATGTGCAGCATGCAGTCTGGGTCTACCGACATCTGTGTCGTGTA